ATGAGAAATATGATGGAGGCCAACTTTGAAGCTCAAAAAAAAGAAAGAGAAGATGCTCTTGCACACCAAAAAACTATCATGGACGATTATGCTAAGATGGTTAAAAAGAACTTCGAACAAAGAGATCAGGAAATTAAACTTCTTAGAGAACAGGTTAAATTCTTGAAAACAAACTTATCTAATCTAATTGAAGCAAAGAGAAGTGATTGAAGTGCTATTTTAGCGTTTGTTTTAAGTCTTTTAATTATTATTATTATAAATTAACTATTATATAACGCGCACATTGATTGTAATTGCTTGCAATGTGCAAAACAAACCGTGTTTCCACAAGTGCATAGAAAAGTGACCTTTAAGCAAAGCGTTGTTATTATTTTATATTTTACTTGAGTTGAGAGAACACTCTAATGCTCTACTRCATGATTTGCGTAGTTCAAAAATGTCTTCAAATTGGCGATGTGCATCATGGCGTCATCTTAATACCGCTTGCAACATTCTCTCTCTGCTATTCAGATTTTTAATCCCTTGGAAGTTTATAAAACGAAAAACATTACATTACAATAGAAAGTTGGCAAAGCATTCTGGAAGTCGCGTCATCGTAAAGATCACCTAATATGTACAATTGAATAAAATGTGTGATTTCTTACACTGGTGCAGATGTCAGCAAAAGAGGCCCAGGCGAAAGAAGACCGAGATAACATGTCAAGAATGTACCGAGAAGAAATGGAAAAAGACAGGAAGGCAGCAGAAAAAAATCTTGAAGATGCCATTAAAAGGATCAATGCAGAAAATAAGGCTGCACATGAGGTTAGTCAATATCATCATCAGCGCAAACATCACTATCACATCCGTTATTATACAGCGATTTCAGAAAATGATCCATACAAAATATACAGTTATTTTAAAAAACGTTGTCGGGGAGAACGGCGAGCGACGATTGTCGAAGGGAGATTGCACGGCCGAAAGGAACTATTATTACACTGTTTTGATAAACAAAATTTCACTTATTGGATTCACCTTGCATAGAAATGGAGACTAAATGGAGCCAATGTTTACCACAGACCATCTTAAGTACAAATCAGTTGTTAATGCCTTTTCAACTGTAGCAAAACCCATGGCTACTCTCGCTATTTTATCCGACAACCTTTTTTGAAATAGCTATTAGCTATATGCTAGAATTATTTCATGTATTTTTTAGGAAGAGAAAGCTCGTATCGAGGAAGAGAAGAAAAACAAAGAAAGAGAGGTGCGTAATGCATGCCGGTTATCTGTTATTGTCAAGTACATGAGAGGAGCACTAAATGTGCCCTATAGYCTCCAACGCAGCCGGTACTTTGAGCTGCGCGCTTTTCAACTGAGATGAAATTGTGCGCGACTATAAGCAGCTGCACAGGAGACTACTTTGGAAATGCTCTAAGAAAGACTGTTTAAAATCTAATATTAAATACCAACAGTGTTTATTTATAATGAATACTTTTTCAAAGATGGAGGTCCTTCGTCAAAAGCAACAAGAARAGAAAGCCAGATTGCAAGAGCTGACAAACATGATGGAGGCAAACTGTGAAGAGCAAAGAAAAGACAGAGAAGCTGCCTTGGCTCGTCAGAACACCATGGAAGACRTGATYGAYATGATGAAATCRTCACTAGAGAGTAGAGATAGADAGATACAACTTCAGCGAGAACAAATGGAYAACCTGATTGCTACACTCCAAAGACCAAAAAGCCCCGACAATGGCTGCCTTATTCTCTGACTTGGACAACAAGCCAAGTCAAACCTCACAAGAAACAGAAGCTTTAGTTTCAGATGATTCCTTAATAGTCATGTGTGACTTTAGATGTTTAATTCTCATTTTATTTGGGTTTTGAAATGCAATTAAGAAATAATAACACAATTTAATGAATCCTGAGGATCCTGAACGGTTAAAATTAAATATAGTTATAGTCGATTTAGTATTACTGGAAAATGGTGATAGGCGAATGTACAGTTCGGTACAAATGAGTGTTTTAAGTCCCCTGAGGATGACCAATTTACAAAATGCTTTATCACATTTGATAGTGAGCCAGCATTATTGAGTTCACGACTAGACGTACATTTAGGTTCGAACACTTGCTCATCAATTACAGTGATTTGGTTTCATGTACGACAATTATAAAAATTCCACTTCTGCGCAACGTAATCTATATACTGCAGTAGATTTAAACACAAGCTATCAAATACCAAAAATACATTAAATAAAACACTGCAAAAGTAATGCACATCATTGTTATTTTTGTTCTTATTTTTTGATTTGAATTTAACTTAATCAGTGTTTGTTTGTTTTTTTTCTAATAGCTATTGAAATAGATTGAATTGTATTTTTTATCTGCCTTGATTGAAGCCCTCGTCCTTATGCTCCCTCACGCGTAGCATGCTCAGACTATGGCCAAAAAAGATAGTTAGCCTTTCTCATTCAGTAAATAAAGTAGCTTTTCAACTCAATCTCGTTCCAGAACGTTTTAGGTAGCCGGCGCAAAAGTTTTGGTTCGGGAGAAAGCACGCTAATTTTTGGGCTTCCTGTGTCCTCAACAGAAGAACGACACAGGAGGCCCAACAAGACACGAATTCACTGTCGATAGTTTTGAACATTTTGCGATAGAATATCTTTACAATTAATTAGCTACTAATGGCCCACCTCTGAATTACTGTAGCTAAATAGCTGATATAAAGACATTTCATTTGAATCCACTTGAATAGGTCTTCGAGTCGATTTCTTGGCGCGCTTTTCAAATATAATTTTAGATCTGCAAGATAACATAGATTGCATTAGTAGATTGAATATACAAAACTCATTGTTTGCTATAATTCTTTACCGTCTTGTTGTCAGTCTTTTTGCGAAGAAGACAGAAAATAATGACCTTTTAAATTCGCCATGGACGGTTCAACGGCTTTGAATGAATGATGATATCGTATTCCCCAGAGGGATTATAGGACTCGTCATTAGCCTACGCGCGGCCACCTTCTAAACAAACATCCCGCCCACAGTGATTTTATTTTTGCGAGATAAAAAGACGTCAAAGAATAGTCAAGATTTAAAATTCCCCACCGCCTATATTCTGTTTCTAGAACCTATTCATCTAGAAAGGAGCAACCGCAATTTATAGAAATGAAATATTTTTGTCATAACTAGAACAAAAATAAGAAACTTCTTCTTCACCAAAAAAGAAAATATGCAGGGAAAAAACATGAGAGAAGAGAGAAAACAACAGGAGAAAAGGGATCAACTTGTTGTATACTTTAGGAAACTGAACTTGGATTCGAACCCGGTAAATGCAATGCTCAAAACCGCAAGCTTTCGTCACGAGTTAACGAAATACCCTGATACCGCACTGGTCTATGGTGGCCTATTGCCGCACTTATATAGACCCTTGACAATGTCATCGGACAAACTAACTCAATTTAACATTTTTTCGATTATTTTAGGGTGCAAGGGGTCTAGAAGCCGATTAGCTTCTCTATTTCTTGCCTCAAAAGATTGAGACAAATAGTAAGCGTAAATTAAAGTTACGTCAGGTACCTCGGAATAGCATGGAAGATCCGAAATCTCAACCGGGATGTAAGTCGATTCGACGCATGAGCTTTACACCGTTAGTCGCGCGGGCACACTTTGCATTTTTGCGACTGCACTGAAGAAGATCGCCGTTGCGATCGAAACGTCTGCATTAAATTCTATTTTTCAAGCTAGAGACGACTCAATTTTCTTATCATGCAACATCCTAGCTGCAATTTTAAAATATTTAGCTTTACACAATGTCTCAATCTTTTTCGAAATTAGTTGTCAAGGGTTCGAGTCCCACTCCTATCAAAATCATCTTTGAATCCGGCATCGCTGATTCTCTTATCCTATCAGACATTATTCTTGTTGTTGTTGTTGTTTTCAAAATTCAAAGAATATAAGTTGTCACTGTGGACGTCAAAGAATAATATTAAAGTTGCTGCATGAAAAGTGCGTAAAATATTGATTACTTCCCATCTAATCCCAACCAAATGACATCACTAACA